ATATTTGAAGTATTTATTTTTTTTTTTAGATATATCTGGCAGGTCCCTGGAATACGACCCCCCACGAAGAATCGTTTTCACAACCAAGTACACATTTTACTGTTGAGTTAAACAGAGGCTACAGTCAAAGATTTGCGCCCAGTAAATCCTCCCCGGCCAGGATACGAACCCATGACAAAGCGCTCGCGGAACGCCAGGCGAGTGTCTTACCACTACACCACGGAGACTAATATATTTTCTGTTTAGTTTGTATAATAATGTTGTATTATAATAACCACAACCTCTATTGGTAATACCTTGGTATGGAGGGGCTCGTGTGCTCTGTTAAACCTGAGGGCTGTTGAGTGTGGTTTATGAAGCTGTTCATCCCACCAGAGGTTGACAGGTAGGTAACTTCACCTACTTTTGGTATCCTTTGCCCTTCCCTGGTATACTTGGCCCTTCCCTGGTATACGTGGTCCACCCCTGGTATACTTGGTCCACCCCTGGTATACTTGGTCCTCCCCTGGTATACTTGGCCCTTCCCCTGGTATACTTGGCCCTTCCCCTGGTATACTTGGCCCTCCCCCTGGTATACTTAGCCCTCCCCCTGGTATACTTGGCCCTCCCCCTGGTATACTTGGCCCCTTCCTTGGTATACTTGGCCCTTGCCTGGTATACTTGGCCCTCCCCTGGTCTACTAGGCCCTCCCTGGTATACTTGGCCCTTCCCTGGTATACTTGGCCCTCCCCCTGGTATACTTGGCCCTCCCCTGGTATGTGGCCCTCCCCTGGTATACTTGGCCCTCCCCCTGGTATACTTAGCCCTTCCCTGGTATATTTGGCCCTCCCAATGGTATACCTGGCCCTCCCCTCGGTATACTTGGCCCTGCCTTGGTATACTTGGCCCTCCCCCTGGCATACGTGGCTCTCCCCTGGTATACTTGGCCCTCCCCCTGGTATACTTGGCCCTCCCCCAGGTATACTTGGCCCTCCCCCTGGTATACTTGGCACTCCCCCCTGGTATACTTGGCCCTCCCCCCTGGTATACTTGGCCCTCCCCCAGGTATACTTGGCCCTTCCCCTGGTATACTTGGCACTCCCCCCTGGTATACTTGGCACTCCCCCCTGGTATACTTGGCCCTCCCCTGGTATACTTGGCTCTCCCCTGGTATGTGGCCCTTCCCTGGTATACTTGGCCCTCCCCTGGTATGTGGCCCTTCCCTGGTATACTTGGCCCTCCCCTGGTATGTGGCCCTTCCCTGGTATACTTGGCCCTCCCCTGGTATGTGGCCCTTCCCTGGTATACTTGGCCCACCCCTGGTATACTTGGCCCTCCCCTGGTATGTGGCCCACCCCTGGTATGTGGCCCTCCCCTGGTATACTTGGCCCTCCCCTGGTATACTTGGTCCTCCCCTGGTATGTGGCCCTCCCCTGGTATACTTGGCCCTCCCCTGGTATACTTGGCCCTCCCCTGGTATGTGGCCCTTCCCTGGTATACTTGGCCCTCCCCTGGTATGTGGCCCTTCCCTGGTATACTTGGCCCACCCCTGGTATACTTGGCCCTCCCCTGGTATGTGGCCCTCCCCTGGTATGTGGCCCTCCCCTGGTATACTTGGCCCTCCCCTGGTATACTTGGCCCTCCCCTGGTATGTGGCCCTTCCCTGGTATACTTGGCCCACCCCTGGTATACTTGGCCCTCCCCTGATATACTTGGCCCTCCCCTGGTATACTTGGCCCTCCCCTGGTATACTTGGCCCTCCCCTGGTATACTTGGCCCTCCCCTGGTATACTTGGCGCTTCCCTGGTATACTTGGCCCTCCCCTGATATACTTGGCCCTCCCCTGGTATACTTGGCCCTCCCCTGGTATACTTGGCCCTCCCCTGGTATACTTGGCCCTCCCCTGGTATACTTGGCGCTTCTCTGGTATACTTGGCGCTTCCCTGGTATACTTGGCGCTTCCCTGGTATATTTGGCCCTCCTCTGGTATACTTGGCCCTCCCCTGGTATACTTGGCCCTCCCCTGGTATACTTGGCCCTCCCCTGATATACTTGGCCCTCCCCTGGTATACTTGGCCCTCCCCTTGTATACTTGGCCCTCCCCTGGTATACTTGGCCCTCCCCTGATATACTTGGCCCTCCCCTGGTATACTTGGCCCTCCCCTGATATACTTGGCCCTCCCCTGGTATACTTGGCCCTCCCTGGTATACTTGGCCCTCCCCTGGTATACTTGGCGCTTCTCTGGTATACTTGGCGCTTCCCTGGTATACTTGGCGCTTCCCTGGTATACTTGGCCCTCCCCTGGTATACTTGGCCCTCCCCTGATATACTTGGCCCTCCCCTGGTATACTTGGCCCTCCCCTGATATACTTGGCCCTCCCCTGGTATACTTGGCCCTCCCCTGGTATACTTGGCCCTCCCCTGGTATACTTGACCCTCCCCTGATATACTTGGCCCTCCCCTGGTATACTTGGCTCTCCCCTGATATACTTGGCCCTCCCCTGGTATACTTGGCTCTCCCCTGGTATAGTTGGCTCTCCCCTGATATACTTGGCTCTCCCCTGATATACTTGGCCCTCCCCTGATATACTTGGCCCTCCCCTGATATACTTGGCCCTCCCCTGGTATACGGGCCCACTCCTCTTCTTCTGTACATCAATTACTACCAAACGCCCCTCAATCCCTAAAGCCAGTAATGTTGGCTGATGACACAACCTTTTATTATTTTCTCCCATGTTGATCCACTTATTCTAAATGACTAAATATTGAAGTAAAAAATACTTTAATGGTTGACTACTAATAAACTCATCCTTAACACTGGAAATACGTATAACATATTTTTTATTGTTTAGAAACAAGTACACCAATCAACCTAATTAAGGATTAGCAGTACCCAAGTTGAGAGTAAAATAGATGGGATATTCCCTGCTGTTCACGTTGACAACAAACAGAATTTAATTGCCATATACAAAATATAACTAAAAAGTTTGTAACACAGTTGGCATTCTCTCTAACATTCGACGGTACAGTTCGTACCCCGCTCTGTACGAACGTAAAACTAAGTTTATATTAGTCCCCCGTGTACCCACATCCCACCTACTGTACCGGGGCGCATCCGATCCCACGATCGTCGTCGCCCCTAAATCAACAACACCTACTGTACCTGTGCCTGAGGATCTACAACCCATAATTTACCCGAGGACCAGCACCTGCCTAGTGGCCTTGACGGGAACATGGGGCGTGTCGAAGCTCCCCCCATTTTGTCCGGAGGATTTTCCGTCATTGAATTTTTAATTACAGTAATGTCTTGTCATTTACAACTACGGTGGGTAGTCGGTTTCAGGGGTTTATAACTCTGTGGGGGAAAATGCATCTTCTGTTTTCTGTCCTACATTGTAGTTTGTTGAGCTTGACACCATTGTCCCCCTGCTTGTGTTATGTCTCACCTTTTGCCCTCCTGCTTGTGTTATGTCTCACCTTTTGCCCTCTGCTTGTGTTATGTCTCACCTTTTGCCCTCCTGCTTGTGTTATGTCTCACCTTTTGCCCTCTGCTTGTGTTATGTCTCACCTTTTGTCCTCCTGCTTGTGTTATGTCTCACCTTTTGCCCTCTGCTTGTGTTATGTCTCACCTTTTGTCCTCTGCTTGTGTTATGTCTCACCTTTTGCCCTCTGCTTGTGTTATGTCTCACCTTTTGTCCTCTGCTTGTGTTATGTCTCACCTTTTGCCCTCCTGCTTGTGTTATGTCTCACCTTTTGCCCTCTGCTTGTGTTATGTCTCACCTTTTGTCCTCTTGCTTGTGTTATGTCTCATCTTTTGTCCTCTGCTTGTGTTATGTCTCACCTTTTGCCCTCTGCTTGTGTTATGTCTCACCTTTTGTCCTCTGCTTGTGTTATGTCTCACCTTTTGCCCTCTGCTTGTGTTATGTCTCACCTTTTGTCCTCCTGCTTGTGTTATGTCTCACCTTTTGCCCTCCTGCTTGTGTTATGTCTCACCTTTTGTCCTCCTGCTTGTGTTGTCTCACCTTTTGCCCTCTGCTTGTGTTATGTCTCACCTTTTGTCCTCCTGCTTGTGTTATGTCTCACCTTTTGCCCTCCTGCTTGTGTTATGTCTCACCTTTTGCCCTCTGCTTGTGTTATGTCTCACCTTTTATCCCTCTGCTTGTGTTATGTCTCACCTTTTGCCCTCTGCTTGTGTTATGTCTCACCTTTTGCCCTCTGCTTGTGTTATGTCTCACCTTTTAAAGACATGGTCTAATTAATATCCTCCAACTTGTAAGTATTTTTAAAGTTTTGGTGAGAACAGCCAAATAATAATTATTTCTGGCAATACAGTACGTGTTTATGTCAGTGAAACAGATTAGGTCAATACATGGTGTAAATTGCGTACTTCGCTGTACACTCGCACCTTGGATCACTATGTGCTAAGGTGTTTCGCTACCGCTTTGGCCTGGGTTCGTATCCTGGTCGGGAAGGATTGACCGGGCGCCAATCCTTAACTGTAGCCTCTCTTCATCCAGCAGTGAATAAGTACCTGTTGTTAAACGATTTGACAGGAAGTATTCAGGGAAAAAAATGGTATTAAGGACTTCCCGAAGCGTATCCATACTCTCTTCTCCTCTCTCCGGTCAATCCTACAGATGTTGTGTCCATCATTCACTCGCTAAAAACCAAAGCTGGGAACATTAGTGAAATACCATCGATGGAATACAGGAGTGCCTCCCATGCCCTTGCACCACCCATAGCGTTGCTGTTCAATAAATCGCTAGTGTCATACCTTCCCCGACATCCTTAAAAAAGCAAGAGTAACGCCAGTTCATAAAGGAGGTAACACGGCAGACATAAATAATTACAGACCCATATCGAATCTACCTTTATTATCAAAAATATTTGAAAAAAAATTATTTACAAACAGCTCTACTCCTATCTTGTAAAACTCAATATACTAAGTCCTTGTCAGTTTGGCTTCCGCTCCTAAAAGAGTACCAATGATGCTAGTGTTAGTCTGCTTGACTTAATCTACTCAGCCCTTGACAAAAGTAAGTTTCCGATTAGACTCTTCATCGACCTGAGAAAGGCCTTTGATACTGTTAACCATAACTACCTCTTACTTAAACTCCACCATTATGGAGTCCGCGGCAAGCTGAACTATATCCGATCCTATCTTAGTGACAGACACCAATGTGTAATATGTAACCATCAATGATATAACCTCTCCTACTCTACCACTAACCGTAGGGGTGCCACAGGGCAGCATCCTAGGACCCCTCATGTTTCTTATATACATCAATGATCTGCCTAATGTCTCTAACATGCTTAAACCTATATTGTTTGCTGATGATACTACTCTCATCTACTCTGACCCCAACCCACTCACGTTAAATACTGTTGTAAACAATTAATTAAAAAAGTCCACTTGTGGATGTCAACCAACAAACTCACACTAGACATAGAAAATACCTACTATATCTTATTTGGAAACAAATCAACAAATGTAATTCAGCTTCAGATAGATAGTGTAAACATTAGCAATAAAAATCATGGAAAGTTCCTTGGCCTGTACTTAGACAACAAACACCAATGCCCTGAGGAACACCAATGTTGATGGGTAGGGTGGGAGAAATTGAATTATTCACAGCAACATACTGGAGCCTGTCAGTAAGGTAAGACTGAAGATATTGGAGGGAGTGACCTCTGACTCCATAATGTTGTAATTTAAGAAGAAGGTTTTGATGGTTGACAGTGTCAAAAGCCTTACGTAGGTCAACAAATAACCCAACAGGGAACTCATTTTTATCAAGAGCTGCATGTATCAAGTTAATCATACTAATAATTGCATCGGTAGTGCTTTTTTGGGGTCTGACGCCCCTATTGACAAGAGCTAAGTATATTGTGTTTGGCTATATAAGAGTAGAGCTGCTTGTAGATCAGTTATTCAAATATTTTTGACAAGTTTGGCAGAATTGATAATAGGTCTGAATAAGTTGTTGACATCAATGAGATCACCACATTTATGGACTGGGGTTACTCTCGCTTTTTTTTAGAATATCTGGAAAGGTTTGGAGTTCAAGTGATTTGTTGTAGAGCAATGTAATGGCAGGAGCTAAAAATTTGGAGGCTTTTACGTAAACTAGAATTGGTATCTCCGCAAGAGCACTGGACTTGGTTTTAAGGGAAAGGATTATCTCATTAACATCAACGGAATTAGCAGGCGTTAGGTACAGAGACTATGGATAGTTACCTGTGTCCTGAACATTAGTACGGGAGGATGGAATATCATTTGCATGGGATGACCCAATGGAAGAGAAGAACCTATTGAATTCAATAGCAGTATCAGAAGTTGAAAGCAAATCATCATTATTGGACAGGAGTATTGGTTTTTAATTTAAAATCTTTTTAATCCCAATATTTGTGAAATAGTGCTCCATGTTTACTTAATGTTGCCCTTTATTTGGGTAAATTTATTTTCGTAGAAAATAGACAAAGCACTGGCTAAATACCTCCAGTCGAAAAACAAATTGGGCCACATTTATACTTGGCGCCACATTTATACCTTGCGCCACATTTATATCTGGCGCCACATTTATATCTGACGCCACATTTATATCTGGCGCCACATTTATATCTGGCGCCACATTTATACCTTGCGCCACATTTATATCTGGCGCCACATTTATACCTTGCGCCACATCTATATCTGGCGCCACATTTATACCTTGCGCCACATCTATATCTGGCGCCACCACCAGCCAAACACAAAAAACAACTGCCTGCCGCAGCACCAAGGATCAGCTGACGCCATAAACACATCCCGCCCTACGGTGCGGCAAGTCTCCCTCTAACATTACTGTTTTAGTCGCCGCTCCTCTATCTACAGCACAACGCAACAAGCACTTTTGAAGCTCTTATCATTCTCAACATAAACGCGTCTCCCAACATTTGTACTGGTGCAGTCATCGGGAGGATAAACCCTTCATGCAAGCTACATCTACTATCAAGAAGGACGTCGCCTCCGCCGGACCACTTGACTGGACATTACCCTCTTGGCTCTCGATACCACCGTCAGGCGTTCCTCTTCAACTGTCCGGATTGTTGCGACGCCTGGCGCCTTATCGCCCGGGGCCACAGGGAAGTTTTTAAGTTTTCCGGCTGGTTATTAGTGCGGGAAGACTGTCCGGCGGCGGCGTGGTGGAGTCAGGCGACGCTAATGTAGCCACACGGCTTTGTATTTTACCCTTCAAGGAAACGCCAGAGCACATCCAGCACCGCTGCCATCGTGGCTCCATAATCAGCAGCATTAAGGGAAAACCTTCACACAAACTGCACCTAACATAAAGATGAAAACTCACGAGTGTCCAGAGTGTAGGAAGAGGTTCAGTCGGCTTGAAAATATGAAGACTCACATGTTAATACATACTGATGATAAACCTTATGAGTGTCCAGAGTGTGGGAAAAGATTCAGGTTTATTGGAAATATGAGGAATCACAGAGTAGTGCATACTGATGAAAGGCCTTTTAAGTGTGCTGAATGTGGCAAAACATTTAAGAATCGTGGAGGTATAATACTGCACATGAAAGTGCATACTAATGAAAAGCCTTTCGAGTGTGCCGAGTGTGGCAAAACATTTAAGCATCGTGGAAAAATAGTACTCCATATGTTAGTACATACTAAGGATAAACCTCATGAGTGTCCAGAGTGCGGAAAGAGATTCAGTCAGCGTGGATCTATGAAGACTCACATGGTAATACATACTAATGAAAAACCTCATGAGTGTCCAGAGTGTGGGATGAGATTCCGTCATCCTGGGAGTATGAAGCGTCACATGTTAGGACATACTGATGATACACTTCATGAATGTCCAGAGTGTGGGAAAAGATACAGTCATCTTAGGAGTATGAAGCATCACATGTTATTACATATGTGATTTTCACACACACACACACACACACACACAAACACACACAGTACTGTATATGTTTCCGTCAGACATTTATATTAGTCTTACCTTAGTTTAGTAGTTATACTGTACAGTATTAGCATTACTCTGTAAACGTGGAATGTACATCAGGGAGTTCTTCTGGTTCCCAAGCCGGGCCTGGAGCCAGCCTTCACTTGTGATAACTTTGTTTAAGACCCCTTACTAGTATTTGTTCCAGCCAGAATTATGCACTGTATTACTCTGGCTATATGGTCGTTATGGCTTGGTACTTCCTCCTGGTAGTTACCTTCCCTTCTCGCATAATTTAAGCAGTTTGGTAATGTTACCCTGATTGGCATTGATTTTATTCTGAATTATGAAAATTATTTTAGCCTGACTCGAGGTATTATATTAGCCAAAACCTGGCACTTTTTAAACCAGATTCTTGCCATTCAATTAGTCTGATTCCAGAATTTTTATAACACAATGGAGTATTTCATTCAAGTTAACCCAAGCCTAATTACTGCTAATATTTTTTTCATCTCTTTATTAATGCCTGAATCTGACATTTTTTAATTAAAATATATTTGTTTATATTTTTATTTTTACATTTTTATTCTCTGGCCCCAGACATCACTCGGTACCCCTACTCAAATCTCTGAATATGTTAGACATTAAGTCACTGTACATTCTCTCATGTGTATTATACATATATAAAACGCTAAACTATAATGCCAATCCTGATCTCAAAAGCTTCATAGAAGGTTGTAACAGAACCCATGTGCACCACACCAGAAATAAATACAGTTTTGATATTCCTAGAGTACGACTTAATCAAACCAGAAATGCTCTACAAATCAAGGGGCCCAGAATGTGGAATGACCTTCCCAACCATGTTAAAGACTGTACCTCTCTCAACCAGTTTAAGTTAAAAACGAAGCTATACCTAATAAATTCCCTGTAACCTACCTTACCCCTCTGTTGTCAACCCATGTATGTTTTTTGTTGTTTTTTTCAAATCAACGCTGTTTGAATGTAATTTTCTGTAATAATTTGTAAGTGTATTTGTGCTGCTTTTTCAACAATGTTCCCCCCTCTTTTACCTCTATTTTTATTTGTTCTCAACACATTTTATTCTTTTTACCCATTAGTTTTAAGCTTAGTCATTAATGTTTTTCCTGCCCGAAACGCTTTGCGTAATAGTGGTTTTAGGCATTGTATGTACTAGCTCTATCTATAAAGCCAACAAACCTTGTAAAATCTCTTTATGTATGTACCTTATCTAAATAAAAATTATTATTATTATTATTTCTAATTTTAAATTAATAGTGTTTTTGAATGTTTATGTATAAGCCTAAGTTTAAGTATTCATTAACTGGTGTGTATGGTCATTATGAGCCTGTTTTACCAGGTAAAGTAGTAGCCTGTATTGCTTTGATTGGTAATATAATTTATAGTTGTTTTGATTAATGTACAGTAAATTATAGTTATTGTTTATTCTCTGTCTTTAAGTTATCTATAATAAAATAAGGAGTAATACTTGACTTTTATGACCTGTTAAGTTTTATATGGAACTTGTTTTTACAATTGTCTTGACATACAAGGTTACCATCCACTCACTGTAACATACAAGGTTACCATCCACTCACAATAACATACAAGGTTACCATCCACTCACTGTAACATACAAGGTTACCATATACACACTGTAACATACAAGGTTACCATCCACTCACTGTAACATACAAGGTTACCATCCACTCACTGTAACCACTATAAAGGGTTTTTGTAATTAGCACATAAATAAGATTCATGTCATGTGGTACTAATGCAATAATTATTCTTTTGTGTGTCTCAGAGTTGTTATAGTCATAATTAATAGTTATTAAAGAATTGGGGAAACAGTCAATATAATTGAAAACATAGATGAGGAAGTGATTACAGTATTATAATGTTCCTTAAATCACTTGATAGCAAAATTATCAGTAAATGAGCACTCTGTGGTCACTAAATGATCAATGGTTATACAGGTATATATAATCATGAGGCTTAATTATCACTGGTATGTATCCCTGCTAAGCACACACAAGATGGGAGTCTGTACTATGGGGGATCTAGAATAACATGGATGTAGGGGTAGTAGTTAGCATTAAGGGTTATCAAATAAGGGAGATCTCAAAGGCCCGGCCCCTACTATATAGAAATATATAGAAATAAACTTGTAGTGGCTTATTACAGCAATAGTCAGCCTAGAGGTTGATCATGAGTCTCCTACACAGGAAAAATGGATGCTCCTTTACTAACTTATTTATTTATTAACCCCTTAACAACCCCCCATATACATTCACACCAATAACAATAATAATAATTACTTTACCACACTATCTTACGTTAAAAGCCTTGGTCCACATAAGCAGGATACAAGGTTTACACTCAGAACAAGCTAGGGTAAAGTACTACTAGTGAAGAGCTAGAAGCTTGAGTCAGCTTAGGGTAGGGAGACCACGTGGTTCCACTTGGACCCCTTTCAGAATAACTAGTAATACAAACACTAGGAACACCTAATTCATACACGGTACACACACACACACACTTGATCGAGCCTTGCTTGATCTGATATTTACCCTAAATGAGTCGGATATAAGGGAAGTTAAGTTGGAAGCCCCCTTGGGAATGAGTGATCATAGTGTATTGAGCTTTGAGTACCTGGTTGAGCTGGGAATTATCACCCCCAAAAAAGAACTGGGAAACAAAGGGCTGGCGTACCGAAAGGGAAACTATGAGGAGATGAATAAATTCCTATGGGATATACATTGGGATACAGAACTCGGAACCAAGTCCATACAAGACATGATGAACTATGTCACCCAAAAATGTCAGGAGGCTGTAAGCAGGTTTGTCCCAGCCCAACAGGAAAAAACAGAGAAGCAAAGGAAGAATCCATGGTTTAATAGGGAATGTATGAAAGCAAAGAAGCTGAACAAAAAGGCATGGAGGAACTTCCGTAATAACAGAACACCAGAAAGTAGAGAGATACCAGAGAACCAGGAACGAGTATGTTAGTGTGAGAAGAGCAGCTGAGAAAATGTATGAAAATGATATAGCTAATAAAGCCAAGACCGAACCAAAGCTACTACACAGTCACATCAGGAGGAAGACAACAGTGAAGGAACAGGTGATGAAACTTAGGGTGGGCGAGGACAGGTACACAGAGAATGACAAAGAGGTGTGTGAAGAACTCAACAAAAGGTTCCAGGAGGTCTTTACAGTAGAACAGAGAGAAGTCACGGCGCTAGGAGAGGTGACAGCAAACCAGGTGACCTTGGAAAGGTTCGAAATTACAAGAGATGAGGTCAAGAAGCACCTATTGGAGCTGGATGTGAGAAAAGCTGTTGGGCCGGATGGAATCTCACCATGGGTATTGAAAGAGTGTGCAGGAGCACTTTGCTTGCCACTCTCCATAGTGTATAATAGGTCACTGGAAATGGGGGACCTACCAGAAATATGGAAGACTGCTAATGTAGTACCAATATTTAAAAAGGGTGACAGACAAGAGGCACTGAACTACAGGCCATGCAGTGTCCTTAACTTGTATACCATGCAAGGTGATGGAGAAGATTGTGAGAAAAAACCTAGTAACACATCTGGATAGAAGAGACTTCTTGACAACCCATCAACATGGGTTCAGGGAAGGTAAATCTTACCTTACAGGCTTGATAGAATTCTACGATCAGGTGACAAAGATTAAGCAAGAAAGAGAAGGATGGGCGGACTGCATTTTTTTGGACTGTCGGAAAGCCTTTGACACAGTACCCCATAAAAGGTTGATGCATAAACTGGAGAAACAGGCAGGAGTAACTGGTAGGGCGCTCCAGGGGTTTAAGGGAGTACCTAAGCAATAGGAAGGAGAGTTACAGTGAGGGGTGAGACCTCAGAATGGCGTGAAGTCACCAGTGGAGTCCCACAGGGCTCTGTACTTGGACCTATCCTGTTTCTGATATACGTAAATGATCTCCCAGAGGGTATAGACTCATTCCTCTCAATGTTTGCTGACGACGCCAAAATTATGAGAAGGATTAAGACAGAGGAGGACAGCTTGAGGCTTCAAGAAGACCTGGACAAGCTGCAGGAATGGTCGAACAAATGGCTGTTAGAGTTTAACCCAAGCAAATGTAATGTAATGAAGATAGGGGTAGGAAGCAGGAGACCAGATACAAGGTATCACTTGGGAGATGAAATACTTGAAGAGTCAGAGAGAGAGAAAGACCTGGGGGTTGATATCAGGCCAGACCTGTCCCCTGAAGCTCATATCAAGAGGATAACATCAGCAGCATATGCCAGGTTGGCTAACATAAGAACGGCCTTTAGAAACTTGTGTAAGGAATCTTTCAGAACATTATATACCACATATGTCAGACCAATCCTGGAGTATGCGGCTCCAGCATGGAGTCCATATCTAGTCAAGCATAAGACTAAACTGGAAAAGGTTCAAAGGTTTGCCACCAGACTAGTACCCGAGCTGAGAGGTATGAGCAACGAGGAGAGACTACGGGAATTGAACCTCACTTCGTTGGAAGACAGAAGAGTTAGGGGGGACATGATCACCACATTCAAGATTCTCAAGGGAATCGACAGGGTTGATAAAGACAGGCTATTTAACACAAGGGGCACACGCACTAGGGGACACAGGTGGAAACTGAGTGCCCAAATGAGCCACAGAGATATTAGAAAGAACTTTTTTAGTGTCAGAGTGGTTGAGAAATGGAATGCATTAGGAAGTGATGTGGTGGAGGCTGACTCCATACACAGTTTCAAGTGTAGATATGATAGAGCCCAATAGGCTCAGGAACCTGTACACCTGTTGATTGACGGTTGAGAGGCGGGACCAAAAAGTCAGAGCTCAACCCCTGCAAGCACAACTAGGTGAGTACAACTGAGTACACACACACACACACACACACACACACACACACACACACACACACACACACACACACACACACACACACACACACACACAATCAGGAATCATTCAGAATCTTGTACACCACATATGTAAGACCAATCCTGGAGTATGCGGCCCCAGCATGGAGCCCGTACCTTGTCAAGCACAAGACGAAGCTGGAAAAAGTCCAAAGATATGCCACTAGACTAGTCCCAGAACTAAGAGGCATGAGTTACGAGGAAAGGCTGCGGGAAATGCACCTTACGACACTGGAAGACAGAAGAGTAAGTGGAGACATGATCACAACCTACAAAATCCTCAGAGGAATCGACCGGGTAAACAAGGATAAACTATTCAACACTGGTGGGACGCGAACAAGGGGACACAGTTGGAAACTGAGTACCCACATGAGCCACAGAGACGTTAGAAGGAACTTTTTCAGTGTCAGAGTAGTTAACGGATGGAATGCACTAGGTGGTGGAGGCTGACTCCATACACAGTTTTAAATGTAGATATGATAGAGCCCAGTAGGCTCAGGAATCTGTACACCAGTTGATTGACAGTTGAGAGGCGGGACCAAAGAGCCAAAGCTCAACCCCCGCAAGCACAAATAGGTGAGTACACACACACAGACACACACACACACACACTGCATTAGGAAGTGATGTGGTGGAGGCTGACTCCATACACAGTTTCAATGTAGATATGATAGAGCCCAATAGGCTCAGGAATCTGTACACCTGTTGATTGACGGTTGAGAGGCGGGACCAAAGAGCCAGAGCTCAACCCCCGCAAGCACAACTAGGTAAGTACACACACACACACACACACACACACACACACACACACACACACACACACACACACACACACACACACACACACACACACACACGGCTCACTTATGCACCAATGCCTCCTAGCACCTTGAATGGTCAGCACCACACTCAATACATAGTACAGAACATGACATTCTTGTCTATGAAATAGTATCACCAGGAGAACTGGTGATACAAGAGTGCCTCCCATGCCCTTGCACTAGCAATAGCTTTGCTGGTCAATAAATCTCTCGAGTGTCATACCTTCCCCGATATCCTTAAAAAAGCAAGAGTAACGCTAGTTCATAAAGGAGGTAACACTGCAGACATATATAATTACAGACCCATATCGAATTTACCTTTATTATCAAAAATATTTGAAAAAATTATTTACAAACAGCTCTACTTCCATCTTGTAAAATTTAATATACTATAAGTCCCTGTCAGTTTGGCTTCCGCTCCCAAAAGAGTACCAATGATGCTAGTGTTAGTCTGCTTGACTTAATCTACTCAGCCCTTGACAAAAGTAAGTTTCCGATTAGACTCTTCATCGACCTGAGAAAGGCCTTTGATACTGTTAACCATAACTACCTCTTACTTAAACTCCACCATTATGGAGTCCGCGGCAAGCTGAACTATATCCGATCCTATCTTAGTGACAGACACCAATGTGTAATATATGTAGCCATCAATGACGTAACCTCTCCTACTCTACCACTAACCGTAGGGGTGCCACAGGGCAGCATCCTAGGACCCCTCATGTTTCTTATATACATCAATGATCTGCCTAATGTCTCTAACATGCTTAAACCTATATTGTTTGCTGATGATACTATACTCTCATCTACTCTGACCCCAACCCACTCACGTTAAATACTGTTGTAAACAATTAATTAAAAAAGTCCACTTGTGAATGTCAACCAACAAACTCGCACTAGACATAAAAAAGACCTACTATATCATATTTGGAAACAAATCAACAAATGCAATTCAGCTTCAGATAGATAATGTAAACATTAGCAATAAAAATCATGGAAAGTTCCTTGGCCTGTACTTAGACAACAAACACCAATGCCCTGAGGAACACCAATGTTGATGGGTAGGGTGGGAGAAATTGAATTATTCACAGCAACATACTGCAGCCTGTCAGTAAGGTAAGACTGAAGATATTGGAGGGAGTGACCTCTGACTCCATAATGATGTAATTTAAGAAGACGGTTTTGATGGTTGACAGTGTCAAAAGCCTTACGTAGGTCAACAAATAACCCAACAGGGAACTCATTTTTATCAAGAGCTGCATGTATCAAGTTAATCATACTAATAATTGCATCGTTAGTGCTTTTTTTGGGTCTGAAGCCCCTATTGGCAAGAGCTAAGTATATTGTGTTTGGCTAGATAAGAATAGAGCTGCTTGTAGATCAGTTTTTCAAATATTTTTGACAAGTTTGGCAGAATTGATAATAGGTCTGAAGTTGTTGACATCAATGAGATCACCACATTTATGGACTGGGGTTACTCTCGCTTTCTTTTTTAGAATATCTGGAAAGGTTTGGAGTTCAAGTGATTTGTTGTAGAGCAATGTAATGGCAGGAGCTAAAAATTTGGAGGCTTTTACGTAAACTAGAATTGGTATCTCCACAAGAGCACTGGACTTGGTTTTAAGGGAAAGGATTATCTCATTAACATCAACGGAATTAGCAGGCGTTAGGTACAGAGACTATGGATAGCTACCTGTGTCCTGAACATTAGTACGGGAGGATGGAATATCATTTGCATGGGATGACCCAATGGAAGAGAAGAACCTATTGAATTCAGAAGTTGAATTATCAACAGTATCAGAAGTTGAAAGCAAATCATCATTATTGGACAGGAGTATTGGTTTTTAATTTAAAATCTTTTTAATCCCAATATTTGTGAAATAGTGCTTCATGTTTACTTAATATTGCCCTTTATTTGGGTAAATTTATTTTCGTAGAAAATAGACAAAGCACTGGCTAAATACCTCCAGTCGAAAAACAAATTGGGCCACATTTTACCTTGCGCCACATTTATATCTGGCGCCACATTTATATCTGGCGCCACATTTATATCTGGCGCCACATTTATATCTGGCGCCACATTTATATCTGGCGCCACATTTATATCTGGCGCCACATTTATATCTGGCGCCACATTTATATCTGGCGCCACATTTATATCTGGCGCCACATTTATATCTGGCGCCACATTTATACCTTGCGCCACATTTATATCTGGCGCCACATTTATATCTGGCGCCACATTTATATCTGGCGCCACATTTATATCTGGCGCCACATTTATATCTGGCGCCACATTTATATCTGGCGCCACATTTATACCTGGCGCCACATCTATATCTGGCGCCACATTTATATCTGATGCCACATTTATATCTGGCGCCACATCTATATCTGGCGCCACCACCAGCCAAACACAGAAAACAACTGCCTGCCGCAGCACCAAGGATCAGCTGACGCCATAAACACAACATCCCGCTCTACGGTGCGGCAAGTCTCTCTTTAACATTTCTGTTTTAGTCGCCGCTCCTCTATCTACAGCACAACGCAACAAGCACTTTTAAAGCTCTTATCATTCTCAACATAAACGCGTCTCCCAACATTTGTACTGGTGCAGTCATCGGGAGGATAAACCCTTCATGCAAGCTACATCTACTATCAAGAAGAAGGACGTCGCCTCCGCCGGACCACTTGACTGGACATTACCCTCTTGGCTCTCGATACCACCGTCAGGCGTTCCTCTTCAACTGTCCGGATTGTTGCGACGCCTGGCGCCTTATCGCCCGGGGCCACAGGGAAGTTTTTAAGTTTTCCGGCTGGTTATTAGTGCGGGAAGACTGTCCGGCGGCGGCGTGGTGGAGTCAGGCGACGCTAATGTAGCCACACGGCTTTGTATTTTACCCTTCAAGGAAACGCCAGAGCACATCCAGCACCGCTGCCATCGTGGCTCCATAATCAGCAGCATTAAGGGAAAACCTTCACATAAACTGCACCTAACATAAAGAAGAAGCACCACCATTGACCGCCAAGTGCTCACATCAAGTCTTAACTCTAAGAAACAACACTCAAGTCTTGCCTAACCCTCAACATTGACACTACCGTGACGCGTCTCCCAACATCACCACTCGTGGAGTTATCCAGGGAAGCAAACATAAGAACATAAGAACAAAGGTAACTGCAGAAGGCCTATTGGCCCATACGAGGCAGCTCCTATTCTACAAACCTTCACACAAACTTCACCTATCATAAAGATGAAAACTCACCAGTGTCCAGAGTGCGGGAAGAGGTTCAGTCGGCTTGGATCTGTGAAGACTCACATGGTAATACATACTAATGAAAAACCTCATGAGTGTCCAGAGTGTGGGAAAAGATTCAGGTTTATTGGAAATATGAGGGAGCACAGAGTAGTGCATACTGATGAAAGGCCTTTTAAGTGTGCTGAATGTGGCAAAACATTTAAGAATCGTGGAGGTATAATACTGCACATGATAGTGCATACTAATGAAAGGCCTTTCGAGTGTGCCGAGTGTGGCAAAACATTTAAGCATCGTGGAGGTATAGTACTTCATATGTTAGTACATACTAAGGATAAACCTCATGAGTGTCCAGAGTGCGGAAAGAGATTCAGTCAGCTTGGATCTATGAAGACTCACATGGTAATACATACTAATGAAAAACCTCATGAGTGTCCAGAGTGTGGGAAAAGATTCCGTCTTCGTGGATATATGAAGAGGCACATGCTGGTACATACTGATAGAAAACCTCATGAGTGTGCCGAGTGTGGCAAAACATTTAAATGTCGTGGAAGTATAGTGCTGCACATGGGAGTGCATTTAGATGATAAACCTCATGAATGTCCAGAGTGTGGGAAAAGATTCCGCCTTCGTGGACATATGAAGCGACACATGTTATTACATACTGATAGTAAACCTCATGAGTGTCCAGAGTGTGGAAAAAGATTCCGTCATCATGGATATATGAAGACCCACATGCTGATACATTCTGATAGTAAACCTCATGAGTGTCCAGAGTGTGGGAAAAGATTCAGGCTTATTGGAATGATGAGGACCCACAGCGCAGTGCATACAGATGAAAGGCCTTTCAAGTGTACCAAATGTGACAAAACATTTAAGAATCGTAATGGTATAATTCAGCACATGTTAGTGCACTTGGATGATAAACCTCATGAATGTCTAGAGTGTGGGATGAGATTCCGTCATCCTAGTAGTATGAAGCGTCACATGTTAGGACATACTGATGATACACTTCATGAATGTCCAGAGTGTGGGAAAAGATACAGTCATCTTAGGAGTATGAAGCATCACATGTTATTACATATGTGATTTTCACACACACACACACACACACACACACACACACACACACACACACACACACACACACACACACACACACACACACACACACATACACATACAGTACTGTATATGTTTCAGTCAGACATTTATATTAGTCTTACCTTAGTTTAGTAGTTATACTGTACAGTATTAGCATTATTCTGTAAACGTGGAATGTACATCAGGGAGTTCTTCTGGTTCCCAAGCCGGGCCTGGAGCCAGCCTTCACTTGTGATAACTTCGTTTAAGACCCCTTACTAGTATTTGTTCCAGCCAGAATTATGCACTGTATTACTCTGGCTATATGGTCGTTATGGCTTCGCACTTCCCCCTGGTAGTTACCTTCCCTTCTCGCATAATTTAAGCAGTTTAGTAATGTTACCCTGATTGGCATTGATTTTATTCTGAATTATGAAAATTATTTTAGCCTGACTCGAGGTATTATATTAGCCAAAACCTGGCACTTTTTAAACCAGATTCTTGCCATTCAATTAGTCTGATTCCAGAATTTTTATAACACTATGGAGTATTTCATTCAAGTTAACCTAAGCCTAATTACTGCTAATATTTTTTTCATCTGTTTATTAATGCCTAAATCTGACATTTTTTAATTAAAATATATTTCTAATTTTAAATTAATAGTATTTTTGAATGTTTATGAATAATCCTAAGTTTAAGTATTCATTAACTGGTGTGTATGGTCATTATGAGCCTGTTTTACCAGGTAAAGTAGTAGCCTGTATTGCTTTGATTGGTAATATAATTTATAGCTGTTATGATTAATGTACAGTAAATTATAGTTATTGTTTATTATCTGTCTTTAAGTTATCTATAATAAAATAAGGAGTAATACTTTACTTTTATGACCTGTTAAGTTTTATATGGAACTTGTTTTTACAATTGTCTTGACACACAAGGTTACCATCCACTCACTGTAGCATACAAGGTTACCATCCACTCACTGTAACATACAAGGTTACCATCCACTCACTGTAACATACAAGGTTACCATCCACTCACTGTAACATACAAGGTTACCATCCACTCACTGTAACATACAAGGTTACCATCCACTCACTGTAACATACAAGGTTACCATCCACTCACTGTAACATACAAGGTTACCATCCACTCACTGTAACATACAAGGTTACCATCCACTCACTGTAACATACAAGGTTACCATCCACTCACTGTAACATACAAGGTTACCATCCACTCACTGTAACATACAAGGTTACCATCCACTCACTGTAACATACAAAGTTACCATCCACTCACTGTAACATACAAGGTTACCATCCACTCACTGTAACACACAAGGTTACCATCCACTCACTGTAACATACAAGGTTACCATCCACTCACTGTAACATACAAGGTTACCATCCACTCACTGTAACATACAAGGTTACCATCCACTCACTGTAACCACTATAAAGGGTTTTTGTAATTAGCACATAAATAAGATTCATGTCATGTGGTACTAATGCAATAATTATTCTTTTGTGTGTCTCAGAGTTGTTATAGTCATAATTAATAGTTATTAAAGAATTGGGGAAACAGTCAATATAATTAAAAACATAGATGAGGAAGTGATTACAGTATTATAATGTTCCTTAAATCACTTGATAGCAAAATTATCAGTAAATGAGCACTCTGTGGTCACTAAAAGATCAATGGTTATACAGGTATATATAATCATGAGGCTTAATTATCACTGGTATGTATCCCTGCTAAGCTTTATCACACACACACACACACATCGAGGAAAGGCTAAAGGAGCTGAACCTCACATCCCTGGAAAACAGAAGAGTAAGGGGAGACATGATAACCACCTGCAAAATTCTCAGGGGAATTGACAGGGTGGACAAAGACAAACTCTTCAGCACAAGTGGGACACGAATAAGGGGACACAGGTAGAAACTTAGTACCCAGATGAGCCACAGAGACGTTAGAAAGAATTTTTTCAGTGACAGAGTAGTTAATAAATGGAATGCACTAGGAAGTGATATGGTGGAGGCTGATGTCATACACACAGTTTCAAATGTAGATATGATAGATCCCAGTAAGCTCAGGAATCTGTACGCCAGTTGATTGACAGTTGAGCGGCGGGACCAAAGAGCCAAAGCTCAACCCCCACAAGCACAATTAGGTGAGTACACACACACACACACACACACACATTCCTGTGTACAGGAATCGTAGCAGACGTGTGGAAACAGGCTAACATAGTTCCAATCTACAAAAGTGGCAGCAGGGAAGACCCCCTCAATTATAGACCTGTATCATTGACAAGTGTAATAGTGAAAGTATTGGAAAAGCTAATCAAAACTAAATGGGTAGAACACCTGGAGAGAAATGATATAATATCAGACAGACAGTATGGTTTTCGATCTGGAAGATCCTGTGTATCGAATTTACTCAGTTTCTATGATCGAGCCACAGAGATATTACAGGAAAGAGATGGTTGGGTTGACTGCATCTATCTGGACCTAAAAAAGGCTTTCGACAGAGTTCCACATAAGAGGTTGTTCTGGAAACTGGAAAATATTGGAGGGGTGACAGGTAAGCTTCTAACATGGATGATAAATTTTCTGACTGATAGAAAAATGAGGGCAGTAATCAGAGGCAATGTATCGGAATGGAGAAATGTCACAAGTGGAGTACCACAGGGTTCAGTTCTTGCACCAGTGATGTTTATTGTGTACATAAATGATCTACCAGTTGGTATACAGAATTATATGAACATGTTTGCTGATGATGCTAAGATAATAGGAAGGATAAGAAATTTAGATGACTGTCATGCCCTTCAAGAAGACCTGGACAAAATAAGTATATGGAGCACCACTTGGCAAATGGAATTTAATGTAAATAAATGTCATGTTATGGAATGTGGAATAGGAGAACATAGACCCCACACAACCTATATATTATGTGAGAAATCTTTAAAGAATTCTGATAAAGAAAGAGATCTAGGAGTGGTTCTAGATAGAAAACTATCACCTGAGGACCACATAAAGAATATTGTGCAAGGAGCCTATGCTATGCTTTCTAACTTCAGAATTGCATTTAAATACATGGATGGCGATATACTAAGGAAATTGTTCATGACTTTTGTTAGGCCAAAGCTAGAATATGCAGCTGTTGTGTGGTGCCCATATCTTAAGAAGCACATCAACAAACTGGAAAAGGTGCAAAGACATGCTACTAAGTGGCTCCCAGAACTGAAGGGCAAGAGCTACGAGGAGAGGTTAGAAGCATTAAATATGCCAAAACTAGAAGACAGAAGAAAAAGAGGTGATATGATCACTATGTACAAAATAATAACAGGAATTGATAAAATCGACAGGGAAGACTTCCTGAGACCAGGAACTTCAAGAACAAGAGGTCATAGATTTAAACTAGCTAAACACAGATGCCGAAGAAATATAAGAAAATTCACCTTCGCAAATAGAGTGGTAGACGGTTGGAACAAGTTAAGTGAGCAACCCGTTCTCGCAAATTCGTAAAGTCAATATTGACTTATTAACTACGTGCATAGGTGATATACTAAACATAGTAGATACCCTTAAAAAGATTCATAGAAAACACCGACCTTACCTAACCTTGTTAGTATCTTAAGATAAGCATCTTATTGCTTCGTAATTACAATTATTACTTAACCTATACCTATTATAGGTTAGGTAATAATTGTAATTACGAAGCAATAAGATGCTTATCTTAAGATACTAACAAGGTTAGGTAAGGTCGGTGTTTTCTATGAATCTTTTTAAGGGTATCTATTATGTTAAGTATGTCACCTATGCACATATTTAATAAGTCAATATTGACTTATTAAATTTGCGAGAACGGGTTGCAGTGAGAAGGTGGTGGAGGCCAAGACCGTCAGTAGTTTCAAAGTGTTATATGACAAAGAGTGCTGGGAAGACGGGACACCACGAGCGTATCTCTCATCCTGTAACTACACTTAGGTAATTACACACACACACACACACACTATTATGTCTGGGTTTTCTTCTAATGCCCAAAGAATGGGCACTAGAAGAAAACCCAGACATAATAGCACTCACAGAAACAAAGCTAACGAAAACCATAACAAATGCAGTGTTTCCACAGGACTACTATGTAGTGAGGAAAGACAGAGACGGAAGAGGAGGAGGTGGTGTATCTTTGCTGGTAAGAAAAGCCTGGAGTTTTGAAGAGATGGTTGATCAGGGCTGTGAAGATTTCAGTGACTACATAACAGGTACCATAGTAATTGGAGGACAAAAAATTATAGTAGTAGTCATATATAACCCCTTACCAAATGACAGAAGACCCAGACTGGAATATGATAGAAACATCATGGCCACCATCAATATAATAGAGAGAGCAGCTTCTGTAGCTAGCAGGAACTCACCCTTAACGTTGACAAAACTTTCTATATTCTGTTTGGCAATAAATCCTCAAATCAAATATATCTCAGGATAAACAATACCCAAATTTGTAACAAAATAGATGGCAAATTCCTTGGCGTTCTCATTGACCGCAAGCTGAATTTCCAGGGACACATTCTAAATATATCAAAAAAAGGTTTCAAAAACAGTTGGCATTCTTTCTAAGATCAGATACTATGTACCTCGCCCTGCCCTGGTGACGCTCTATTACTCCCTCATCTATCCATATATCAACTATGGTATTTGTGCTTGGAGTTCTACTACCCAAAATCATTTACGTCCTCTAATTACTCAACACAAAGCTGCTATTAGGACAATATCCAACTCTGGCCCCAGACATCACTCAGTACCCTTACTCAAATCTCTGAATATGTTAGATATTAAGTCACTGCACATTCTCTCATGTGTATTATACACATATAAAACGCTGAACTGTAATGCCAATCCTGACCTCAAAAGCTTCACTGAAGGTTGTAACAGATCCCATGAGCACCACACCAGAAATAAATTCAGTTTTGATATTCCAAGAGTACGACTTAATCAAACTAGAAATGCTCTACAAATCAAGGGATCCAGAATGTGGAATGACCTTCCCAACCATGTTAAAGACTGTACCTCTCTCAACCAGTTTAAGATAAAAACGAAGCACTACCTAATAAATTCCCTGTAACCTACCTTAATTGCCCCCCTATTGTCAACCCATGTCTGTTTTCTTAAACAACGCTGTTTGTCGACCTAATTGTATTTGTGCTGCTTTCTCAGCCATGTTTCCCCCTTTTTATCTTTATTTTTATTTGTTCTCAACACATTTTATTCTTTATACTCAATTAGTATTAAGTTTTAGTCATTTATGTTTTTCCTGTCCGAAACGCTTTGCGTAATAGTGGCTTTAGGCATTGTATGTACTAACTCCATCTATATATCGATCAAATTACTTATGTAAAATCTCTTGTATGTATGTACCTTACCTGAATAAACATTTTATTTTTTTTTTATTTTAAATGCAAATCTTGCTCTGAAACTCTCCCTGGACAGATGTAATAGGACCCATTATCACCACACCAGAAATAAATATCTCTTTGATATCCCCAGAGTCAAACTTAATCTGTGTAAACACTCTATGCATATAATTGCCCAGTCTATGGAACTCACTCCCTAATGAATTGAAAAGCTGTCCAACTTTTACGTCATTCACAAACAATACTAAAAAGTACCTAATTTCATCTTTATAGTTTTTTACCTTCTTGCTTTAAAATTACACTGTATCTATTGCTACACAATCTCCCAACCTTTATGTACCCAATCTGAACATCTTTATCATTGTGATCATTGCTGTCTTCTTATATATGCTGTCAATCTGCTGCACGGTGTCTATTAATCTTGTTTAAATTACCAATCAAGCTGTCAATGTAATCAATCAGAGCCTTAATATACCAATGTGCTTTAATATACTTACTATAATCTCTCTCATCTCATTTTTTTCTTGCAATGTATTTGTTATCATTTTATTAATTCTGATAGAATTTACCTACTTAAAATTATCTATTTATTTATTTATATATATACAAGAAGGTACATTGGGATTGTGAGGATACATAATATAGTAATTACAATCTTGTAAAGCCACTAGTACGCGCAGCGTTTCGGGCAGGTCCTTAGTCTAAGAAAAATTTAAGTAGGTAAATACTTGCAGAATTTATAAAACATGATAACAGTTACAAGCAAGAAAAAAAATAAAAGATGAGAGGAAACTGTAGGTATATTAAAGCACATAGGTAGCTCAGATTGATTGCAATGACAGCTTGAATGGTAGTTGACAAAAATTGGTAGTCACAATACAGCATATGGCTAGCACATAAAAGAAGACAGCAATGAACACAATGATAAGGTTGTTTGGGTTAAGTACATAAAAATTGGGAGATTGGGTAACACTAGATACAGAGCAAATTTAAAGCTCAGTGTAGGAAACTACGAAGATGAAATTAGGTACTTTTTGGTTTTGCTTTTAAATGAGGCAAAAGTTTGACAGCTTTTCAAT